TCTATCATCTATCTATCATCTATCTATCTATCTATCTATCTATCTATCTATCTATCTATCTATCATTTATCTATCATTTTAGTACAACCCCATCTAGATAGTTCAAGGAGTGAAAAAAGTACTCGATGGTTCTGGAAGGTAAGATAGTGTTAAGCTTAGAGAAGTGTGTCAAATAAGATGGGATATGAGAAAAGGTTCTGGACTGATTGAAATGATCAGTGTGTAGACACAGGTGTGACTACACAGGGGTCTGTAAATTGGAACTTCTATCAGATTTATGCATCTTACATAGCATGCACTTTATACCACTAAAAAGGCATAGGAAAAAAGAAGTTATTTACTGTTACGGAAGGAACACTAAATAAATAGCTAATAGGCTGGGGACATTCAGGACTCCTTGGCTTCCATCCTCAGCACCACAAAATAAATCAATAAACAGTTTTTTAAAAAGTTCAAAGTGTGGCTTGAGGGAGGGGCAGTGGTAACAGGGGTAGGTTCTAATTTTTCTGTAGTAAACCTTGCATAATTATTTTACTTTATTAAATATGTGCATGCATAACTGGATTTTTGCCTTAATTTTTGGAGACAGGGTCTCATTCTGTAGCCTAAGCTGGTCTTAAACAAGCAGCAATACTGCCTCAGTCTCCCAAGTCCTGAGATTACAGGTGTGCATCATCGCACCTAAGTGTTTTGATTTGTTATGCCAAAAAATGATTTCATATACAAACATACTGTGATAGCTTTGACTTGGACCCCGCTAGATGATGCATGGTATTCATTAGAAAGATATGGCTGGCAGATGCCATGAAGTGACCTGCAAGGCTAAATTCAAGGACTTAGAACCTGAAAGCCCTACTCCAGGGCTCTTTCCTTCTAAGTCATAGAGTAAGAAGGGCTGGTACTACCCAGACACCAATCAGGTGCCAATGGCCCAAAGGTTACCCAGTGGGGATGGTCCATAGTCCACAGAGGGCAGGAGGCATTACCATAGGACCCTGCTGCTTTGAGTAGTGCTGTGGTACTTGGAGATCCCAGATGCTGGAGAGCAAGCAACGCACCCAGCTTGCTAGGGTTGACCAGACACCACAAAAGAAGATAAAAATCTGTAATTAGAGCTCAGATTCCCAGAGTTAACACAGAGTAGCAAAACAGGCTACCCTTCTGTCTCACCCCACCTACCCAGCCCAGCCTCCTTACCTCGAAGGTTTCGGATAAAGTCCTCAAGCATCATCTTCCGGTCAGGCTTGATATTGGGGCTGTACATGTCGGTGTTGAGAAGGATGATGGCAAAGGCCAGGATGAAGATAGTGTCCGGGTTGTGGAACTGCTGCACCACCTCGGGGTTGCACATGCAGTAGCGCTGGCTGTGGGATTGTGGGATAAGACCATGAGTTCTCCCATATTTATCATGGGGGTTGTTCAGGAACTACCCCAGCTTTTTGAGGGCTTTGGGCCCAGGGAGATCATTGGCTGTCTCCTCAGTATCCACCTCCCACATGTACGCAGTAAAAGGGGCTGGCTACGAGTGAGTGAGGAGCTTCCGATGGGCAGGCTCCATGTGGATTCCAGTTTGGAGGGCTCCCTCAAGGATTCTGTTCCTTTTTTCCCCTTCCTTCCTTCCTTCCTTCCTTCCTTCCTTCCTTCCTTCCGTCCTTCCTTCCTCCCTCCCTCCCTCCCTCCTTTCCTTCCTCCATCCTACCTACATCAGAAGAGATTCTTTCCCACTCAGGATCTCTCTGTGTTCCAGAAATTAGCAGCTCTTCTTCACCACCCCTCTCTCCCAGTACCCAGGGGTGTTTGGAGGTTCAGGGAATAGGGCTGGGAAAGGGCTCTCACCTGAAGGCCTCTATGAGCCGCTCTACCTTCTGGGCCTCTCCCTGCACACGGATGTGAGCTTGGAACTTCCGCAGGGCCTCGTCTAGCTCCATGTTGGAAAAGTCCATTTCGTCCACCACGCAACTGGAGGCAGGCAGAAGAAGGGTGGTGAAGAAGTCAGTCCCCTTCAACTCCACTGGAGCTGAGGAGTGAGGTAAACCCATCCTGAAACGTGGGCGGTGGGGAACCTGGCTTGATTCTAGTCAAGAGGGAACAGAGCCATAGTCTTATAAGCTTGCTTACCCCTCTGGGGTCTTCTCTGAATGACCCAAGAAGGCAGCTTCCTCTTGTCACGCAGTAGCCCAGGGAGGCAAGCCATGGGCTACTATCTTCATCTCACAAATACCTGGGACTCAGAGGGATGGGCTGGTGTCCAAAGCCACCAAGGGTAGTAGAAGGCTGAGCTCGTATCTTCTTGTTCCAGATTCGAATTTTCTCTTCTCAGCCTTGGAGGATCTCAGAGTCAAACAGTGCTTGTAAATGGAATGATACAGGCATGGCACATACCGTGGTCCCAGATACTTAGAAAGCTGAGGCAGGATTGCTGAGGGAGGAGCCCACCTCAGAAAAGGAGGGTGGTGGTGGAGATGAATGTGATGTACACTGTCAAGACCTATTGGGAGTCCCTTTCTTTCCACCACAGTCTCCAAGCAACTGAGGTCTCTTCTGAACCCCTTTACGTTAGGCTGCCTAGGAAGGACAAAGCTTACACAGAGCTCTCTCCCTGTCTCCCTATCATCCCGCCTCACCCCTTTGGGTGCTCTGTTCCCAGGGCCTCTTGTGGGTGGTAGGAATTAGGGCCCAGTAAAGCCACAGAACTGTTACCCACAAACATGGGCCTTTCTGTCAACAGAAGCTGATCACCATGTGGCTGGCAGGTGCCCACAGACAGGCTCTCAGAGCTTTTGTTTTTTCTGTCCCACGCTCCACCCTCATCATTGCCCTGCTGGCTCCTTCACAGCTCTGATGCATGTTGCCCTCTGAGCTCCCCTGGCAGACATCACCACAATACAACATGGGCACAAATAATCTTGCCCTCCAAGGGTGCCCCATGTGAGCGTAGCATGTAGTTCAGTACCCAGCATTCCCACTAAGGGCTCATCAAACCTCTGCAGAGTGATCAGGTGAGGTGTAGGTCAGGCTCTGAGCAGACCCACCTCCTCCATGATCCCAGAAGACCCTGAGACCCCGAATCTACTGTCACTTGCTATGAGAAAGCAAGGAGAGATGCCACCAGGTAGTGATCTGGGTCTGGAGGTCTGTGGACTCTGAAGGAAAAAGGAGCAGCCCCTGAGAGCTCTTGAGGGGGGAGGAGCCTCAGGTCCAGCTAGGCAGAGGTCACTGATTTCTCAGTAATTCTTGTCACTTCCACTGTGCCCTCACCAGCTGGGATGTGAGCTCTGAGGGAGCACCACACGGTCAGCCCCTGTGGATTCCCATGGTGTCCCAGGCAGGAGCCAGGCATTGAGCCACATAATGCTGTCATTCTGGAGGAGACAGTTCAGTATGGAGTTCAGACCCAGAGCCATGGAGGAGAGACAGCCTGTCTAGTACACAACAGCTTTGGGAGACCCAAAGTCATAGAGAAGGGGAGACAGAGCTTGTGCAGTGCCAGGTACAGAGCCAGAGATGGGAAGATATGGAACTTGTATAGCATAGGTCTTGATGCAAGAGCCAGAAAGAAAGGGTCTGGGAGAGGCCAACAGAGAACAGAGAGAAACAAGGAAGGAGAGGGGCAAGTTGAAGAGAGGAGCCATGGGTCAGAACAAGAAAAACAGACAACAGAAGGGAAAGACAGGGGAACGGGGAGGGGAAGAGACAAGAAAAATCAGGCAGAGATGCATTGGGGGAGGAGCACTCCACTCAGTGGGTGAGTGGCCTGAGCATGCATGGAGCACAGGGTGACCACATTGTGGTCTCTCACCCCAGAGCTTCCGACTCCCATAAAGCCAAGGAGGGCAGTGGACACAGACAGGTTGATGCTAAGAGACCTGGCTTCTCCGTGGCTCCCCCAGGCTGGCTCTTGGGTCAGATGGGCTGACATCTGACTGCTCCTCAGATCTGGCCCATGAGTCCAGTTTTCCTCTCTTCCCTCCCTTTCCCCTGAACTGAGGTTCTGGCACTCCTTTCCCTCTTTGTGGCCTTCTCTCTCCAGGTTCCTTTGCCCCAGAGTTCTGGACTACACCTCTGCCCTAGGTGATGGAGGTGGGTGCTAGAAGCAGGGAAGGAGGTGGCAGCTGGGGAGGGTGATCTGCTCAGCCAAGCATGATGGCCTAGTTTCCAGCCCTCCACTCAGGTGATATGCAGCTGGCTCACTTACTGGCTCACTGGCTCAGGGCTGTGGCGAAGAGACCCAGTAATGAACTAAGAGCCTGAGACCAGGGGCAGGTGAGGAAAGGCAGCTAGGTGAAACATTGCTTCCATTCCAGGCCAGGGATGGGAGGACCCTGGGGAAGGACACCTGGCAGTAAAGCCAGGGCAGCCTCTGGTTCAGCATCTTCCAGCCCTGCTCTCAGAATGGGAAACTGTTAGTTAAAATGCAGATGCCTTTATGCCATCCAGATCCAGAAAATTAGAACACCTGGAGCCTGGGAATCAGCATTCTTTACTTGCTCTCTGGGTGACGCTTAAAATGTGGAAACCAAGGGCTGAGTTGAGGTAAAGGGTAGCAGAAAACCCAGTCCATTGGAAGCTTTTGAAATGTGAATCTAGCAGTCACCAGGCCCCAGGGAGCAGTCTTTGGAGGTTCTTGCTTCCTTCCTAGCTGTCTGGGCTGCTTTGTATGGGAGTAAAGGACTTGTGGTTAGAAATATGGGCAGACACAATATCCTTTCCCACAACCTGCCCCTCTGTAATGCACTTTAAGGCATCAGTGTTTGCTAGCAGGTGAAGTCCTGGGTTTCTCTCATCCTGTAGAGAAATGGTTAATGTCTTCTACCTGTGAAGTCCCAGGTGGAAGGGAGACTGGGTTGAGCAGTGGGAAAGGCAAACACTCCTCTGCGAGGGTGAATCACTTCCTCTTGTATAACTGGGGGTTAGCCCAGGTTCTAGGACCTGCCCCATTCCATCTCGACTCTGACATTCCCTGACTGGGACCAAGAAGCAGGGAGAGCCCACAACCTACCTATGATGGCACCATGGATATGCCCAACTGCAGACATGAGCACAGAACTTTGGCTGACTTGGAATTCATCTCTTTCATGATGAGTAAGGGCCATTCTACCCTCGGCCCACGGAAACATTGTTTGCCTTCATGGTTGGTCCTGTGTCCTCCTGGGAAAGGTGACTAGGAGAGGGATTATGCTGTCTCCCAGCAGTCTGCCCCAGGAGAGTCTCACCTTCAGGGTTTCTATCACCTGTGTTCCTCACATAAGGGGTCTTTTATCCTTTTTCCATGTGGGTTCCATCTGGCACCTCAACATTTTTTGTTTTTCTCACCACCCCTCCCCCCTCCTCCATGTTTCTTTTGCTATGCAGTTTCTGATAGCACTTAAAACTCCTCTTCTCATCCTTCTTTCTCACCAGGCATCCCTGCAGGGAGCAGACTAGTAATTAGTTTACCAAATCTTCCATCTGCTAGGACCCAAGGCAAGCAACATCATCTCTCCCAGGGAGGAAGCATCACACCTTTCCAGGCAGTCTAATCTCCCAATTTTATAGAAAGCAACACCAAGACCATCTAAGGACTTGTCTCGCGCTCCCACAGCTAGGAAGAGCAGGTTTTCCAGTCTTGGCTTTGAGAGGCCTCTTCCTTGCTGGGGCACATGTATGCATGGGGTAGTAGGAATCCAAACATCAGTGGGGGAGAGGGGTGAGCTCACTCTGGGCTCTGGCTTACTAAAGGCTGTTCTTAGTGTTTGTTAGGTGTTGAATGTGAGATCTCTCTCACAGGCTCACGTGCTTGAGCACTTGGGCCCCCCTGTTGGGGCTGTTATGGGAAGTTGTAGAACCCTTGGGACATGGATGCCTAGCTGGTAGATGTAGACCACCGGGAATCTGCTTCTGATTTCCTTAGTTTCCTGATCTACCAAGAAGTGAAGAGCTGCCCCGGCACATTCCTACTACTTTGGATAGACCTACCTCAGCTACCATGGCTTGCTCACCATGGTGGACTGTATCCCCTAAAACCATGAGCAAAATAAACCTCTCTTCCCTTAAGCTACTCTGTCAAGTATTTTGTCACAGTGATGAGAAAATTTCCTACTCTAGTGTCTAAGTATGTAATGACCCAATCTTCTGGATCCTGTGAGTTGTTAATCACCACCACTAGTTTCATAGCAAGATGTTTGTAGAAGAGACTGGCACTGCAGGGGCCTGCACACTTTGGGGGCGTCTTCTGGGCCAGGCAGGTCACTTTCTCACCTCCCCACTGCTCTCTGTTGTTCAGTGGTCGCTGTTAACGCCACTCACCCTGGGGGCTTCTATCTTCTCCAGAGGCATAGTGAGGGGCTGGGAGGGGCCCTGGGAAGCATTTGGACACATTGGTACCTGCAGTGACCATGGGTATGTGAGGAGCCACTTTCCTGTGAGCAGTTGTCAGAGAGGCTCTGTGGTCACCTTCCACATCAGAGCTTACCTGGGTACATTCCTCACAGCATAGTCCCTATCACTGACTGCCTGTTTTCCCCTCTCTAGGCCTTTCCTGAGCTCTGGGAGAGGCTGGTTGGTTTGCTTTTAGCACATGTATACTACATAGCTCCTGAGTGCAAGGCTGGGTAAGGGACCTACTCTGAGAGGACAATACCAAAAACAGTCTTTGGAGGAACCAGGTTCTAAATGCAGGGCCCAAACTAATTCTTTGTAGCTGGGTGTGGTGGCAAACACCTATAATCTCAGAACTTGGGAGGCTGAGGCAGGAGGGTCATATGGTCAAGGGCAACCTGGGCTTTCTCCTTTCCTCCCCAAAGTTCTTCATAGTTGTGACAGGTCCTATGTAGACAAAGGACAATTTCTACAAGAAGATAAATTCTATATTGTTGGGTTTATAAAGAACTCTTAGGGGACATGCTATTTCAGTTGAAATCTGAGAAATGAATTGAGTTGGCAGAGAGAAATAATTAGGCTGAAGAGGCTGATATATATGC